TTCTTATGGAAAAATGAATTTCCCAAGGTTGACCGCAAGCAGAGGGGAAACGGCGATTCTTACGAAGCTTCTGTCCCTTGCAGATCGTAGTGGTTTTTTTGTGTGTGTGGTTTTTTTTCTGTTTTGGGTTGTTTTTTTATCGAGGTTGGCTTGGCGTTCTCACAGTCTTGACTCGACGTCCCCGAGCGCCCCGTGACTCAGTTTGGTGGTGAAAAGTGCCATGAAGTACCGCATAGTTACTGATCGCTCTCGTTGCTGACGATAAGAGATCTTCTGACTCATCAGCGCTCATCCCCTTTCCCTGCGCCCCAAGCCCACTCTGCACGGCCGTACCCTGCAAAACTCGAGTACAAACCCATGGTCTGCTCCGGAAAAATACATTATTGGTATACCAACACAGTTAGCAAGCAAAAGAGCGTAAACTCACTACAAGTAAAGGAGTGACCAAATGCGATCCAAATAGAGCGATATTGTGAATCCAATTTGATGACTCTTTAGGGGAGCGATATTAATTACATCGCTCGTTTGGAGTCACTTTTGCGACATTTTTGGTTACGAATAAAACTCCTTTTCAGTCATTTTCGCAAACGTCGCTCGTTTAGAATCGTTTCTGCGACGTTTTCTGTTACGAAGAAGAATCGTGTCGAGTCATTTCGCAAAAATCGCTCTAACAGAGCGAAGAAGCCTCTACGGCGCTCTATTCGGGAAAGAAAGGCGCTCTACGTTTTACAGTGCTTTCTGACACTGGAGCAAGGTGGTTTCGAGGAATTGCGTGTATTGCAATGCCGCTGGTCGGTTGGTGCCTCCCGCCCGGAGCTGCGGACACACCGCAGACGGACAGATGTCACATAACGCATTGAACGAACGGATAGAAAACAAAAGCAGAGGCTGATAGGGATTTATTGGTTCCTCGCCGGAGGCCACGCGTGGGCAACGCAGTTATGTGACATCGGCGGAGTAAGGTGAGCGAGCGGGCGGCTGTCGGCTGTGGGAACGGGGCGAACTGCAAAGCTGGTGATGATCGCCGAAATCATGGGTGATAAGTGGCGTAGGGAGAGAGAGAGAGAGAGAGA